AATTCTACATATTAAAAAGAGAGATGTCCACCTATACAAAGCTAAAAAAGATTTAAAATCCCACTAACGTGATGTGGTAACCATCTGATGGTAGTTACTGATCAGAATATCAATTCGTAAGAATATTTTTTTAAAAACTGAAGAATGTGCATGCATTTTAGTACAGTTTATACACACTGTAAATGCATATTCGAAACCAGCCATGGAGCACTGAAGTGGGCTGCTCTGATGGCTTGATGCAAGGCACATGTCTTATGTCGCCTTTCCAGTTCATGACACTTTTCACACAACACATTTCTCACATCCGGCCGGCCGTCTTGAGGAATGACTTCAAATAATTAAGAAACATTTTAAATTTGGCTACAAAATGTTCTTCACAAAACGAATGTCTTCATGTCGCTTCCTCCTGTGTCTTTCACATACGACTGACAAATATACCTAAAAAGAGAGAGAAAAATTACTACAAGGTAACTTAATTTAAAAATATGGACACTTTGACCACTTGCAGATGATACCAACCTTTAATCAACAGTTCTTGGCCTACGCCTTAGCTTCTTCTGCATTTTTAATCTCTGTGACAGCGGCAACAGCTGCAGCCACAACCTCTGCTTGAAGTTCCTTGGCAGCCTCATTAATGGTCTCGGAAACTTCCTTGGTCACAGTTTCAGTCACAGTAACCTCTGCTAGACTCTCACCAGCTCCATCCTCATCCTGTGAACAAGCATACAGAGCAATGAAATACAAGTTTAAAATAATTACTATCAAGTTTGCAAATTCCTTGATGCCAGCTATTGATTGGTTTTCTTTGGCCTCAGTTTCACATTAAAAAATAACTTACTAGGAAATGATTTAAGATTTGAAGCTTAGTTTCAGAAATGCCCAACCAAACTACCTTTATTTTAATTACCCCTCCTATTATAAAGATCATGCATGTGATATCCATATTATTGACAAGACAATATACCATAGACACAAATATGAACATACTCAGGCAAAAAGTTACATCCACAAATCAGAATGCAATACTGAACATAATTTTGCTAAACTGAGGCAAAAAAAGAGAATTTAGGTAAGAATATGGAAATGGCAAAATTGATACATATTGGCATGAGGAAAATTAAATTAGTGAAACTACACACTGACGTTTTTTTTTTTAAACACAGAACTTTAAGAAGCACACAAATATGTTAATTAAATCCATGGAAAATTTAAGACATACTGCGTGATTAAGAAGTAGTCACAACTAGAAAACAAAACACACAACTTGGAGAGCTTGGGAATGGGAAACCTCAAATATTTAAGTAAATGTTTGGGCCAAGACTTGCCAGGACACTTTAAATAGGGCAGGAAAGGGCTCTGGAATTGTGATTACAGAGCAAAACGCAATGTCAGATGAGAGGGAAAAATATTGACACAAGGAGGTGAAGGTTGCCACAACATACACACAGGCACAGGAAAGTAAGGGCACAAAGAGCTGGTAGTGTGGGTTCCAACATGCACCTTAGTGCTGAGTGCAACCACATGCACTGCCCATGAGGAAGTGGGCGGTGTGTGTCTACTGCTACAGTACGCGTTACCCAAGGAACCACAGCACCAGACCTGTTCAAAGAGACTCACAATAAGCAGAATTCTGTGATGTTTAAAATTAGTTTAAGTTAAATGCACAGCCATACGCGACCTGATGGAGCATAAACAACGTCGAACATGCCCCACCCGAGCATGCCACACTTAGAATGCCAAGGAACGGCAACATCAAACTACTATCAAGTGCCATCTGCCTCCAAGTTCACCTACATTTATTTCATCCTGTGTTGTCTGCTCCGTCTTCTCAGCTGCTGCTTCTGCCGCAATGACCTCTGGTGTGGGCAAGGGAAGGGGAACTTCGTCTACAGGTGAAATGCCATTTACTATTACGGCATCCTTGCTCTCTTCAGCCTCCAAGGACAGATCTTGAGGGGGAGGGGGAGGCAGCTCATTAACAGCTAGGATTTCATCTACAGGAGGTGGAAGGGGTGCCTCAACTTCAGGAACAGGTTCGGGAATTGATTCTACAGGGACGGGAAGGGGTTCTTCTACGGGGGCGGGAAGAGGTTCAACAGATTCTGTGGCTTCGACAGTTGGTTCTACACTTTCTAAGGTATTTTTAGGGGCTTCGATAGTTGGTTCAGGAACGACTGCGGGTTCAGGAACTTGGATTGTAGGCTCAGCAGCCTCTAAAGGTGAAGGAACAACTTCGGTTTTGGGGGATTGGACAGCAGGAGTTTCAGGTTCTGTGGGCACTGGAAGGATGGTTTCAGGTAAAGTTGTAGAGTCAGGGGACATGGGTGCAGTAGAAGGAGTGGGAGGAGATGGAGCCTCAACAGGGACTTCAACGGGAGTTTCAGCTGGAGCCTGAACTTGAGCTTCAGGGATTGGGGTAATTTCTGCAGCAGGCACTTCTGAGGGCATCTCCGTTTTAACTTCAATGGGGGATCGCTCGGAGACAACAGGGGAGGCAGGCTGGACATTGATCTCTGGCACGGGAACATCCAGACTGCTCACCTTAGCAGCAGACACCACCTTCAAAACAGTGACAACACAAGACGTCAGCGCTGAATCCTAAACAACCTTGCTTGAAATGTAAACATTTTTGTTAAGGAGTTAATCGTTGCCACAATGCACTCTTCACCACTTGATAAAAAGGATTGTTCACCATCAAAATCAACCAGAAGGAGAGCAAAGATAACAAGTCAAAAACATCGACCTCAATGAAGTAAGAGGAATTTTGAGAGAAAGCCCCTTCAACCTCAATCACCTGTTAATTGAAAAAGGCTAGAATTACTGTTACCTAATGTCAACCCCCAAACTTTAGAGAAACAGGGTTCATACCGGATCTGTATTTTCATTTTCCCTGACTTTTCCCTGATTTCCAGACGGAAAAAAACTGTTTTTCCCTGACATTTTTTTATTAAGAGAGAGGGCAAATTTTGCAAAATTGAGGCGAAAACGGAATATTATATCGAAGAAAAATAAAATAATGCTTAATAAGATAAGTCAAGAAAGCTAATAATAATTCTTACTCAGGCGTCATGGCTAAGATTGGCCCATACGTTCACGATGCCATGCTCGTCGCGCGCAAACTATTATATTTCTTAATTTTTCCCTAACTTTTTATCAGATTTCCCTGACTTTTCCCTGATTTCCAGTACAATTTCATTTTCCCTGACTTTTCCCTGACTTCCCTGATTTCCCTGACCGGTATGAACCCTGAGAAATCTTAAAAAATGTGTGCAGAAGTGCTTAATGGTGCATCACCATATTTCATCAAAAAGTATGCTTCTATTTTAACTAGTTGAGCCCCATTTCACTTTAACTTACAAATACATAAATGACAAGGAAGTGAAGATAAATGAAACACAGTGAAATAGTAAGTTAAAAACAGGCATGTGAGAAAAGACACTAAAAGGAAAGAAGACAAAATGACAAAATACTGAACCCAAAAAGGATGTACCATGAGAAAAAGTAAATCAAAAAGAAACGGGGAGCAGACAGAAGGAATCAAAAAGGGGAAAGAATTAGTTGTGTTCACCTCTTCGATGCCGTTCGTGGTGCCGTTGGTGATTACGGTGGTGGTCTCGGTGGTGACTGTGCTGCTGCTCTCTGACACTACGCTGTTGGTCACAACCACGGAGGAGGCAGTCTTCTCGACGGTCGTCTCGGAGCTCAAGGATGAGGTTGTCACGGCGTCGGTCTTGGTCTCTTCGACGGGGGCGGCCGGGGCGACGGGTGTCGGTGGTGGAGCCTCCGTGGGGGGAGGGGACTGCGGCAGGGGAGGAGGAACATCCTGTAGTAAATACCAGTTAAAACCATATTACACTGGAGGTTGTCGAGAGAAATCATCTCAAAGACAACCCGCCGGTGTGATACGGTCTTCATGACCACAAAGAGGTCAACCCCCGGCCCCTGCACCAGGAGGCCAGGGCTCGACATGACGAGAAACACATTTAAAGAGGGACTCGCACCTCTTTGGCAGGTTCAGCGGGTTTGGTCTCGGTCTCGGCCTCGACCTCGGCGGCGGCGGGGGCGGCGTCGGTAGCGGGGGCAGCCTCAGTCTCCTTCACGGCCTCCTTCTCGGCGGCGGGCTCAGCGGCGGGTTCAGCAGCGGCGTCCTTCTCTGCAGCGGGGGTCTCGTCCTTCTGCAAATAAAATGGAAGACACGACGTTAGAAAATATAAAATATACTTGAGAAACGGAAAGTGCGTCAAAAGTCATGGCCCACTGGGCCGCTGAGCTGCATCCCCCAAACGGGCCGGGGTCAAGTGAGGTGGCCGCCTGTCTGGAGCTTTGATGGGCGTGCAGAGCAGCCGCGTGCAGCGCAGCCATAGCGAAGCCCAGCCCTCGACACAATTGGCAAAACATGATTCCATTAAACTCGAGTCGAGACGAGACGAGACGGGGCGGGGGAGGGGACCCACTCTGGAGTTGCAGGCTCCTTTTCACACGCATCGGTGCCATAACGGCAGCCTCCTGCTCAGAGGCCAAGGAGCGCCAATAATTTTAAATTTTCACACGCACGAGGCTCGACTTTTGATTCACTCGGACCTGGACGGCTTGAACGTCGGCCGGGGCAGCATCCTCTACAGGCGCGGGGGTCGCTGGCGGCACTTCACTGGGGGCGGCGGCGCCCTCGGTCAGCAGCGGGGGAGGCAGAGGCGCCGCCTCCGGGGGCGCGGCCACCACCTCGGCGGCGGACTCGACAGTGGCGGCGGCAGCAACGGGGGCGGCTTCCATCGCGCTGCAGTATGTGGACTGGGGCGACGCGCGACCACCCGCACTCTTTTATACCGAGGGGGTCCTCCCGCGCCCCGCCGTGCCCCGCCGCGCCCCACCAGCACCCCGAAGCGGCCCGCCCCACCACCCTGCCCCACCCCGCACCGCGGGGTCCAGGACCTCTAACACACATGTGCGCCGCCAGACCTGGACAGCTCCAATAACAATGTCACCGGGCCGAGGCATTCCTCGCGACCGCGTCATCGCATTCAGTGATTCACCCCCCCCCCCCACCAACCTCTTTTCCGCCCGACGCAGAAAAGGAAGTTGTAGCGCCCCGCGGCATCGCATCCGGTCAAAAAGTTTTTCGACGTTACTACTAGCGCCACCTCAGTAAAGCCCACAGACGGCCTCCCCTCTTCCTCCCATTTCAAACCGAAACGACACCACCGTCTTTGTCGCCGAGTGGTGCAAGCAGCACGCCTTCCCCCCTACGCATCGCCGCCGCCGCACGCGCACGCCAGTAAATCGCGGAGACTTAGTGCGACTGGCTCGCTCTCGCAGCACCGCGGCCGCGGCCCTCGCAGCAGCACCGCGCAGCAGCACCGCGGCGGCGGCAGGCCGCCAAGCGCAGCAAGCAACCGCGCGGGCAACGAACCGAGTGTGCACCACACCAACAAAGACCAAACACACCAAAATCGCAAAAATAAGAAGCGCCGCGAAGCAGCAGCTCGCCCGCTCGCTCGCGACCATGAGCTCGATGCAAGCTATATGAATATATATGCTAGAGGGCAGGGCCCACGTGCAGCTGTTTGTGCCGTCGCGGGTGGAGGCGCAGGACAGGACGGGCGGCGCCACTCCCCGGCGGCGGACCACGGGAGGACAGGACGCCGCCGCCACCGCTGCTTGTCAATGAAGCCTGCTGCATCTACTGCGTTATTAGCCTAGTGCGTCGTGCACATATGAAGAGAGGAGGGGGGGGGGGCGTCTCAGGTGTCGGCGGCGAGGCATATCGGCATGCCGGCGTAGTGTTTCAGGCGAAGCAGTGGTGGTCACAACGTACCACACGATGATGATGGCACGAGGGGGGCAAGGGAAGCAGAATGACAAGCTTCGCAGATTCATTAAAAAACATGCCACATACTTTAGTATTTTTGCAAAAAATTCCAATGCAGTGATTTTCGTTCAAAGAATGAGGTGACAGGGTGGAATGTTTTCAGCAGCACCAAGGGAAACACGGGAACGCCAGAGCGAGGGGTGAACAACTCAGCTGAGACGGGGACAGCGGAATATATTACAAGGTAATATATGTAATAAGGTAATACTGGTAATATCAATGTATTACAAGTATTACAAGGTATTACAAGCATTACAAGGTAATACAAGGTAATACAAAGTAATACTACATGGTATCACAGGTATTACGAG